CTCGCGCGCCTCCGACCTCGCCGTACCCCGTGCGCCGGCGATCACGTGGCGCGCGAGGTCGTCCCGGAAACGCGGTGTTGGGGAGGTTTTCCCCGCGTGTCTGAGAAAGGAGACGGCTGGACCGGGACAGCGGCAGCCCGGTTCCCAGCGGCTCTAACCCGAGGCATTGCGCCGCCACGAAGCCGCATCTCAGCGTGCGTGGCGGTGGTTTGGCACTGGACCGCCCTTAGTAGTCATCATCACAGCTTGGGAATCATGTTTATTGAAAAAGTAAAAAGTATCATCATAAAAAAGGAAAACAAACAAACAAAAAAGTAAAACCTGGAGAAAAAGTCAGGCCAGAGAAATGGATATGGGGCAGGGGAAGTCGTGCCCCATGACAAGTCCTAGCATCCTGGCTGCCTCCCTGGCACGCTCAGTGGGCACACCTTGGCCCCTAGGGCAAGGTGCTTGCCTCTCCTCCAGGGAGGCACAAACCCAAGGGCAGGGCTGGCTCAGTCCATGCTGGTTCCTTTGAAGAGTTCCACCAAGTCCTTGAAGTCTGGGTCAATAAGGTCGGAGGGCAGATCGCCATCATCGTTGGCTGCATCCCTGTCTGCTCCCAAAGAGATGAGATACCTGGGGTGTGAAGGGCTGTTGGTTAAAGCCTACTCAGCCCTCCCAGGAACAGAGGGCTAGAATTTTGGGGTCACCTGTTTGTTTTTGCTTTTTCCAGGCAGAAGAGGAAGAAACCTGACCCCTTGGAAGCTATGGCCAGATTTTCCAGTTTTCTCTAATGTTGCAGTCGGGTAGAAACTGCCAGAATCCCTCCGAGTTGCTGCCTACACCGTCAGAGCTATATTTGGGGGTTCACATGCTGGAGACCAATTGAAGCCTGGGGGGAGTGGAATGAAGCCTCTGTCTTACCTGGCTATGTCAGGGTACCCATCACTGCAAGCGATATGCAGAGGTGTCCAGCCAGTCTCATCTCGCTGGTGAATGTCTGCACCATATTTGACCAGCAGCTTCACACAGTCCAGGTTTCCAGAGAGCACAGCTTCATGCAGAGCGGCCAGGCCTGGGCAGGGTGGGAAGACAGGGTCAAAGCTGTAACCCTCTGCATAGAACTTCCCTTACCTCTTTATAGACAGACCACTCCGTCGGAGCTTACTCACCTGAGGGGTGGATAGTGTCCAAGGAGACTTTCCGAGCCCGGATAAAGCGCCCCACCTGCTCCAGGTCACCTTGACGAATGTGGTCCAAGAAGAGAACATCATTAGGGAAACGCACACTGCGATCGGCCAACAGCCGCCGCCTCCGCTGTCTGGGGCTGTAGCGAGCATAGCGGGCAGTTCTGCTGGGCATCCCGGGGGTTGGGGTGGACTATCTCTGTGGGGACCCTACTTCAGTAGGTGTGAATGGGAAGTATGCCAGCCAGACCAGATCAGTGTGTAGGCTCTCTGGCTTGACAGAACCTCAATTCCAGCTTATATAGGGCTTGCGGGGCTATATAAAGCCGCTCAGTCATGCTTGCAGACGCGAGGGGCTGAAACCGAGCTGCTCCCCCCCCCCCCTCCCGGAGCACAGGATCATGTTTAGTGGCTCATCTTTCAGCACACCTGTTGCTATGTCCGGCCAAAGGGGTCAGATCCTTCCTGGCTACTACACCCTGTCCGCAGCTGGACCTAGGAGGTGCCTTATAGAGGACAAGAGAAGGACTAGGAGAGAGCCCATGGGAAAAGCCGTGGATGTGGGCTCAAAGGCATCAGGAGGGGCCGAGCCTGAAGGACGGCTTACCTGTCTACCTGCTGGAAGCTGAGCCTCCATCGCCATCTGAAAAGCACCGATCCTTTGTCATTTAGGTCTCAGCGCTGTCCACTTCCCAACATGTCGCTCTTACCTTCCCTTGTAGCTTCTAGAGAAGATTCCCAGAACCGCTTCAGGGTGCATTGAACTGACAGGAACTGCTGCTGCCCTGGCTAGGATCTCAGTCCTGCAGGCCAACACTACCAGTCCTGAGCACCCACCTTGCACGTGTGTGCGTGCGTGTGCGTGCACACACACACAGGCACGCACACACGCACGCACACTGCCTCTGGGTTCTGGACAGTTTCCTAGAGACTATGTTGAAGGTGTGTCATCCAGTCCATTCCTAAGAGACCAGGTGGTGCCCATTACAGGTGGAGAAAGGGAAGGACCCCACATGTTAGTTTCCTGTAGACTCTCTGCCAGCGGTCTTGCTTTTACA